AAACGGGTTTTTTTTTTTTTTTTTTTTTGTTTTCCCAGGCACGAAGGTTATCCAAAAAAAGCTTATATGCATACTGAAATCAGTTTGAATTTCTGGGAATAGGAATATCCTTATTTAAATTCTAACTTTGCTGTTATTTTGAACGTGAATCGTCTGCTTTTCTGAGAGAAAATGAACGCTGTGTTAGGTTCTTGTTTAAACTTTTTTCAAAAATATTTTGGAGCATTCCGATTTGTGGGGAAAATAACCGTGTTTGGTATTTATTCGGAGCCAATCAAAAAGTTTCTCTTGAAATTCCGAGAAGCAAATCCGGAGCTTTTCTGATGCCAAATTTCTGAAATCCGTTTTTGTTTTTTTTTTTAATGTTAGTTTGGAGCCATTGCTTTGGCGTCTTTGGCTTCTTTTTACATGCTAATAAACATTATTGCAGCCACTACGCTAGAATCTTTTCTTTAGATAATATTAGTGGTAAATATACACATACATATGCAAAATATATAAATATATATACATAGGAGCATACACATACATATATATTATTTTAATAAAAATTCCAAGAGAATAGAATCCAGGTAGAACTCAATTAATAAAAAGGCTTAAACACTAAAATTCCATGGTCATAATTTATTCCATTGGAATCGTAAATACGATCCAATTCATCAGACCTACAAATTCAAAAAGAAAACAGAAAAAAACAACTCCGGAAATAAAAACAGAATTTAGAGAGAGTGTAAGTATGAGGGTGTGGGACGAATGTTAGAGCTAAAGAGAGGAGTAACAGACTAGAGAAGGAGGGAGATTAAACCTTAACAGAGAGAATTTTAGGAGAGGTGAGTGGAAGGGGTTTAAGTAAGAGAAATATGAATGTTGTCGGATGTCTAATGCATAAAGATACATTTCGTGGTGACATACACACACCATAGACGATCTAATGTTGAAGATCAGAATAAGAGGGAGGGAAAGGAGAGAGGAGGTGGAGGAGAGAGATGGGGCGAAGGAAAGTAAAATTGAAGGACATTTACTGAAAGGGTCGCTGTGTAATTGAGAAAATTTGACAAATTTAATATCGACTACAGGTTACAAATCAAATATAAACATATAAAAAATAAATATAACGATTATCTAATCTAGCAAGGACCTATATTTTTATGTTCAAAAACACATGCGAATGCACACATACACAATAACATATACACGTATATACATACACATAGGCGTGTACCCACATACACACATACATATACCCATGTACACACATATAAATATATCCACATATCCACACAAATATACACATACACACACATACATATATATATATATACACATATACATACATCTGGTTCAACATGTTAGCTCTATCTCTGATACTGAGCGCTTTCTAATAAGTACCGCGCCTATAACATACAAATAATTACATCTACATATATACATATACACACATACATACACACACACATACATATATATATATACATACATATATACACATACATATACATACATACATATATATACACATACACACATATATATACATATATACACACATACATACACACATACATATATACATATATATACAGACACACATACATATACACATATATACACATATCCACCTATATCAATATACACACACTTTTCACATACATATACATACATACACATACACACATACATATCTATATATATATATATGCACACATACACATCCATACACACACGCACATATATATATATATATATATATATATATATTATTTTTATAAAAAAAAATTATAACATAAGTATGTTATAAAATCACTACAAAAATAGCCATTTTGTTTCAACACACTCTGTGTCTTATCAAGTGATGATGTTGAAAATAAAACCTGTATGTGTGTGTGTGTTTTTATATATATATATATATATATATATATATATACAAAAATACACACACACACATACATGCATATACACACATACATCCATACGCATCCAGTCCTTCATATATATACACATTTACCCGCATATATACATACGGACATACGCATACGTGCACATAAACATATATACCTAAAACCTTACATTTCTATACAATTACATACACCCATTTAAACAAATAAACAATGTATCCCTGTATCTATCCGTCTAACTATACATACATACTTATATACGTACATATACACCCATATACAAATATATATAAGTACATACATACCAAAACACACACACACATATATACACACATCTACATATACATCCATCTACATATATATCCATCCATCTACATATACATACATCCATATACATATACATAAATATGCATATATACACATACATGTAAATCCATACATACACATACATATACCTATATACACACACCTACATATATACACATACACACACACACACACACACATATATATATATATAAATTAAAATTTAAAATCTAAATAAGTAACATTTCAAAAATTTGGGGGTAAAAATAAATAAATAAATACATAGCGCATCACATAAACATACACAATAATACATATAGAGATAAACATAATAAACATAATAGTCATTCCATTAAAATGTCATGCCCAATGTTATTGAACCAAAATGGAACTGACATAAGTGACAACATGTTACAAAACGGTGTTCATGTTTTGAATTGTTTCTTATGTTTACATTTAGAAAATATCTCATTACGAAGATTCAGCAGTTCATCTTGATTCTTATCTTATCATTCGCACGATGTCTCTTAATCGTGTTTTCAAATTGATTTCGTGCAAAAACAATTATATTTTTCCCATTTTTGGCGCTGTTAGAACCATCACAAGGTAATTTTATGTAGTTCTGTGAAGTTTTGTTGAAATCGGTTGAAAAATGTAGGAAATCCGATGCAATATATAAACGTTACACACACACACACACACACACACACACACACACACACACACACACACACACACACACACACAATCTGCGTTTTATAATAAGTAAGATGACATTAAAGAAAGCAGAGGTGTGGCACATGTAAGTGATCACCACATCATCATATCCTTAATCCGGGAAGGGATCCTGGAAATTTCCAATCAATCTTTTTTCATAAATGCTCTATAAACAAATAACTAATGACCGTTTTTTCCTCGTCTTCCACATGCTCGACCCTCTTCTCCGATGTTTCTTTTTTCACAGGTGGAGTTCTTTAAATAAAAAAAAAAAGTCTTACAGATACTAAAAAATTAAAAAATTAATTAGTTAACTTAAAACGGTTATTTTTCTATCATTAGATTTAAGTTAAAAAAAAAGGATAAGAAAAAAGTCTTTTCAATTAAAAACATTAAAATTCATGAAATTTATCTAAAAACGTTTTTAATCACAAAGTATTATAAAATTAGGTACCTCCATGAAATCTCTAAAAAAAGAACATAGCATCGTGAAAAAGACGCCAAACTTGTCTATATTTCTGAGATGAGGTATTGTAATTATTTACATTAATTACGTTGTTCGGACTGTTGTCCTCATTTTTATTGCCATGTTCACAACGTTTCGCCCGTTGTACGTTTCGGCCTTATTCAAGTGATTGGAATTCTGAACCCTTTATTTCTTCCACCAAGTTAAAGAGATAACAGAGACACCTGGAAGAGGCATGGCACGTGGAACTAGAAAAATCTACCTAAATAAAGTGTTCAGTTTGAAATTCCTATCAGCTGAAGAAGGTCGGAGCGTACAACGATCGAAACGTTATGAATATGGCAATGAAGATGAGGACAACAGACCAAACAATATAAATAATGCAAATAATATTTGGGCAGTACTAAAAATAAGAACAAGTCGAGATATACCTAGACATGAGCAATGAAATTATAGAAGCCAGTTAGTTGGTGTTACCTCTCGAATTTATTTTTAACGCAAAATACTACAAAATATGAAACAATAAAAAGGGACACAAAACGGTTTTTACAACAAAGAATATTCATATTTTTGTCTGTAATGGTGTATAAGCATAGGGGTTACTTCCCTTTGACTAGAATTAAAGATTTTATTTATGAAATATTTTTATCTGAGTTCATAGGAAGTTGAATGAATTTGCCGCTCAAAATGTTCATTGTGAAAGAGTTGAAAGAATTCTGTAAAGCTGAAAATATGTTGATAAACTTTTAGCTTCAGAAGATTTGAAAGAGTGAATGTTCCGTAATGTTCGTAATTAAGTTTCTGTTACTTGCAGTTGAATATTCGTAATATGTTGATGCTTGTAATTGAGTTTCGGTTGCTTGAAGTGTTCGTAATGTTTGTAATTAAGTTTCGTACGTACGTGTATGCGTGAATGTGTTTTCATAGCATCCGTCCGACGTAATTTATTTTGCAGCTACATTTTCGTAAGCGAGTGAAATCAAAAAGTGAAGAAGAACGAATTTGTGTCTGGTATTTATAATCAACGTAATCACGTGACAGGCTCCAGAGAGAGAGAAGCGGGAAATTTTGACTTGGTCACGCGCGAGAAAAAGACTTGTGCGTGGGTGGATTGCAACGGCCACTTGTGTGTTTATTGACCAATTAGAAGTTGAGGCTTTCTGAAAAGATGTATGAAGCTGGATAAGCTTTGTGATCCACTTTTTGCACAGATTTGCACAAAAAAATCGACATTGATAAAAAAAAAAGTGGTGCTAAAAAATAAGAGAACAATCGACGTAAAGGATTCAATTCCGAATTCTCTGTAGATTACATAGATCGGCATAAACTTGATGAAGGCTGGTGGGCACAATGCCTAGAAACGTTGTGATAACAACAGCAAGGATGAGGACAATAGTTTTCGTGTAAATAATATTTTTAATCGTATATAAATAAATATGGCTTGGGTGCATTCGTTTAAGGATCTGTAATATATTGGTCATTACAAATTCTGTAGTTTTGTTTTGTTGTCTAAGTTTTCCTTAGTTACTCTCAGAAAATAAAGTTTTGTTATTCCGTAAAGTTGAAAATCTTGACTCATTAATTCATTCATTGTTAATTAAAACAAATTAAAAGCAATGCCTGCTGGGTAAGTCAATTTCTTCTAAAAATTGTGATCTGTTTATTTTAATCCATAAAAATATCATTTAATAAAAAAAAACAGGTGACGAATCCAAAGTAATTTGAACTTTTTTTAACATAACAATTTATTTATATATTTTTTTTAACCGAATAAAAATAAATTTTGAAATATGTATATAAGTTTTGATGTCTATGTATTCAATTCCTTAATAGAAGAAAGCCATATCCAAGATTCTTTGGCGATATTTTTTTCATTTAACTTTTAAAAATAAGAAAAAACGTAACATGTTTTTTTTAAACAACACACCATTTCCTAAAATTAAAATTCTTCATCCACCCCTCACCAAAAAAAAAAAAAAAAATTAAATTTTTATAACATTAATTTTATTTTTCGAAGTCATCCAATTGTGAACGTTAGTAGAAAACAAAATAAAGTACTCTTAAATTAAAATAACAAAATTCCATCAGTTAGTTATTCACCGTTTTTTACCAAAAAATCCCCCGTCAACTGAAAATCGTGGAGTCCAGATAAAACCCTACTACAACAATACTAGGGCCTTACTTGCAGAATTGGGGCTTAAGGAGCTGCTAGGCCTACTTCCTCACAATATATATTTTTTAAAGTATGGTAAGCTGGGTCTAGATACCGACACTACAACAATACCAGTGCTGTACTTTCTGGAGGGGGCTACCCCCACCTCACAATCTCCATACACTCAAATAAGCATTAACTAAAAATCATGGCTTCCAGTCCAGATAAAACCCCACTGCAACAATATCAGGGCTGTACTTTCTGTTATGAGGGATTTTGTGTGTGTGTGTGTGTGTGTGTGTGTGTGTGTGCTCGCTCTAAGCCCCTCCCCTCCAATATTTTTAAATAAGTATTTATTTAATTATTATACTCTATTGTTTTCAAGCAAATAAAATTGATTTATCTAAGAACCCCAGAACGGTTCTAAAATCAATTTCCAATTGACTTTTTATTTTAAGTAACCGAATTTTCCTACCTTGTCAGAATTACCGAATCTTCTGTTACTGAATTTTCCTAAATTCGAATAAATGTGCCGCAATAAAACAAAGTGTCAAAAAGACAGTTTTTCCCATGACACCGCTTCTTTAACTACCTTCACTCCTTGACAATATTTTGTAAGACTTATATTTGGCATGAAGTAACTCCTTGGCAATGGTTATTGTCTTAAAATAAAAAGCAATGATTAGAATTGGAATAAAACCTAAACATACGATGGAAATGAATTCATATATTTTTTGTTGTTCCTGAGAATTTACAACAAATATAAACACTATTTAATTAGATTGTTTATTTACAAGAATAATTGTATATTTTATACTAACAACATTAAAAACTAATACAATTAGAATGCAATGCAATATTTATCCTTTACCAATGTGAAAATAAACATTTACTAAATTATTAAAATATGTGAACTGACTATAAAGAAATCCTTATTATTTACCATTTTAAAGTTCAAATTGATTGGCAATTATTAAACTATGTGTTGCTACTGCTTTTTAACACTGTCATTGTTTTTATTGTTATTATTTTATTTATTTTTTATTATCATTATTATTATTATTATCATTATGATCATCATTATCATGGTTACCACAACTATTATCATAATTACGATTGTCATTATTGCCCTTTTTTTTCATTATACTTTCGTTTCCATCATCATTAAGGCTAAATTTACCGTCAACAGATCAATAACTATTAGTAACATATTATTAATAATTAATATCATAGTTATTATCACTATCAGCATAATCACAATTGACAATAACACACAAGCAGTTAACGTTGAAAATACAAACATCATTATCACCATGCCCACAAGCAGAACCCAATTTAACAAAGGTGGTAGTGGAAAGCCCAGACCAATAGGAGTATATGTGCGCATTTACATCTGTGTATGAGGAAGTGCAAGTTTATCTGATGGCGCAGGTATAGATCTGAAAAGCGTCAATTATTGTTTTATTTATTATTTCATTAATTTAAAAATTGATTATTGCTATTTTGTATGTTTTTAACTCTTTAAAATGTTTTCTTTTAGTCCTGGACAAATCATATGGGATGTTGCAGTTGAAGAAGTTACAAATAGAACAGGTACCTCTCTGTTTTTTTTTTTTCATGATAGCTAGATTTTCCATTATTGCTCAGTTTGTTCAATATTAGAATTAACCTTATCTTATGCTGCATAAGAGTAATTGTCATTGCCGACACTGTGATTTGAAACTAGATCACCACTGAGTAACACGGGCTATTCTATTATTAAGTAGATCACATGATCATAAAGGAAGTGAATAAAAGGGAAGTAGCGTGATGACTATACGATCACTGTTCACTCTTCTTGTCTATCCATTATTGCTATACGTTCACTCTTTCTACTTTACTACTATACGGATTATGATTCTTTTCTGATCACTATATTATTCGACGATTACTACTTGAACAAGTATTACTAGTGCAGATATTATTGGCAGGCTAGTACCAGTGTTTACAAAGTCTTGAATATAAAGAGCATTTTTGGAAGTAATAATAAGCTTTCACTTGACATAGCAAAAGTGAGAGGTGAAACTGTCCAACATCACAAAATCTTGTAACCAGGGCTGGCTTAAGGTACAGGCAACTCAGGCAGGCATCCAAAGCACCATCAAGGCTGACGGTTCTATCATACCACCATGTCATGTATTTGGATCTTCTAAAATTGAAGCTTTTGGAAACATACTTGCAGTTGTCCATGACTCAAGAGAGATCAAATTCTTTGGCTATTTTGTCAATAGAAAATGATCTTGTAAAGAAGATCAGTGTAGAAATTGCCATGAAAAGATTTTCAGATCTAAAGGCTAGAAAAATGTTTTAGGTAGGATAATGAATGTTTTCTTTAGCTTGTATTAAGTTGTATATTGTAATACACACGTTATTTTAAATTTTCAGTTTTTCTCCTTGTGAAAATTTAAAAAAATTATTCTTGTAAGGGTGCTGAAGTTCAGCTTGCTCAGGGTGCCAGCAATCTTCAGGCCATCACTGTGTGTAACTGGTCTCAATCTATTTAATATGTAGAAGTCTGATTCATATTATTATTTTTTATACTATCAAAATTGCCATTAACCAAGTCACATTGATATCTACATTGGTATCAATATACACATTGATATCACATGGATATAAATATACACTTTGATATCTACAATCACATTGGTATCACATTGATATCTACATTCACTATCAAAATTGGCATTAATCAAGTCACATTTATATCTACATTGATATCAATATACCCATTGATATTACATGGATATCAATATACACATTCATATCTATATTGATATCAATATACACATGAATACCACATTGATATCTACATTCACTAACATTATTAGCATTAAATAAGTCAGATTGATATCTAAATTGATATCAGTATACTCATTGATATCACATGGATATCATTATATGCATTGATATATAATTGATATGAATATACACATGAATATCACATTGATATCTACATTCACTATCCATTACCATTAATCAAGTCAGATTGATATCTTCATTGATATCAATATACCTATTGATATCACATGGATATCAATATACACACGGATATCACATTGATATCAATATACGCATTGATATCACATGGATATCAATATGCATGTTCAGATCTACATTGATATCAATATGCACATGGATATCATGTTGATATCTACATTCTCTATCAACATTGGCATTAATGCCAATGTTGATAGAGAATGTAGATATCAGTCCCATTGATATCTACATTGATATCAATCTACCCATTGATATCACATGGATATCAATATACACATTCATATCTACATTGATATCAATATACACATGGATATCACATGTATAATTACATTCACATTGATATCTATAAGTCAATATGCACGTTTATATCTACATTGATATCAATATGCACATGGATATCACATTGATATCTACATTCACTATCAACATTGGCATTAATCATGTCACATTGAGATCTACATTGATATCAGTAACCTATTGGTATCACATGGATATCAATATACACGTTGATATCTACTTTGATATCAGTATACCCATTGATATCACATGGATATCAGTATGCATGTTCATATCTACATTGATATCAATATGCACATGAATATCACATTGATATCACCATTCACTATCAACATTGGCATTAATCATGTCACATTGAGATCTACATTGATATCAATATACCCATTGATATTACATGAATATCAATATGCATGTTCATATCTACATTGATATCAATATGCACATGAATATCACATTGATATTACCATTCGCTATCAACATTGGCATTAATCATGTCACATTGAGATCTACATTGATATCAATATACCCATTGATATTACATGAATATCAATATGCATGTTCATATCTACATTGATATCAATATGCACATGAATATCACATTGATATCTACTTTCACTAGCAACATTGGCATTAATCATGTCACATTGAGATCTACATTGATATCAATATACCTATTGATATCACATGGATACCAGTATACATATTGATACCTACATTGATATCTTCACTATGGTACCTAGACTTCAGGAATTTAAGTGCAGTACGAGGTTTCTTCAATTTACACTTGAGTTCACTTGATATAGCAATAATATTCTATGCTAACAGTTTCTTTTCTCGCTTGTAGAACTTCTTTTTGGCTTTCCAGTCAACTTTAACCTTCAGAAATTTAAATGCATTTTCGATTTCTATTTACTGTCCTTGTTACTCTTCACGTGTTCTCGCTCTTTAGTAATGTTTCTATTTTCTCATTCTTCCACACCTGTTGTCTCTTCATGGTTTTACTAGTTTGCTTGAGGTGAACTTGATTTTAAAAAAAATGTCTACATTTTTTAATCTATGATTTTTGTGCTGTAAAACTTGTATTTTGGCATTAAGTAACTAAAAATAATAAGATTGATTAGGATATTTCTGAAAGATAACATTTTTAAGGCGAGCAGTCTTTGTAATTAGAGTGATTGATATCAAGTGATAGAGCATTAAGAGTAATAAATGAAATAAAATGTTCACTTACCTTGTCTCCATTCTGAGATTTTCTGAAGATTACATCCATTCTTTCAGAAAACTTGATTGTAAAATTGAATTTTAAGAAATCATATTTTTCTTAAATGACATCTTTTTAAAGAAAGTATTTCTTTTTAAAAGTATTATTTAATGTCTTTTAAGCAAAATAAGAGTAGATGTTTATCCCATATTTCTTGTTTAGGATTGGCTTTCCAGTTCCTTCTAAAGTCTTTTCTTTCTCTTCCACATCAGGTGGCCCCTTGTATCTTGGTGGCTTTATCACCTTGCTTGGGGCGGTGCCTTTTCTTCTGTAACACTCTACCTCGAGTGGCTCTTGGACCTTGTACAGAGGGAACATTATTGTAATAATCAAGTCTCTTGAAGAGTGTATGTAATATCTGCAAAATGTGTTTGTAATCTCTGTAAAAGTCAGGGTAACGAAAGGTGCTTTTGTTTCCAGAACCATTTTTTTGTTGGCAGTTATATAGCGGCCATTTCGAGTAGCATTACACTGAATTTGTTTCTTTGTATTTCCTTTTGAAATGTGCAAGGCTTATTGAATACACATTATGAAATGGACAAAGTCCGACAATTATTTTAAGTTTATACATTCTTTTTATAGATACAAATATTTAAGTAAATGCTCTGTTTTATTATAAACAGTATTAAACAACATTTACCGGGCTGAAATTTTATTATAAAACAGAGCATTTACTTAAATATTTGTATCTATAAAAAGAATGTATAAACATAAAAATGTCTTAAAATAATTGTCGGACTTTGTCCATTTCATAATGTGTGACGTCATTTGTTTACATTTGATATACCATGAGCAAATATGAATGTACGTGAGAGATTCATGGAAGATTGAAGTTTAAAAACAGTAAATTCGACCTTGCTAACCGAACGCTCCTCTTTGACCGAAACGGTTAAAGGCACGTCAGGATATATGCTGGTTCCATATAGGATACAGGTTTGATTCCTGTCGGAGGACGAAAATTTTCTATGAAAATTTATTGAACATTCAGGCCATTAAATGTTGTTTAATACTGTTTATTATAAAACAGAGCATTTACTTAAATATTTGTATCTATAAAAAGAATGCATAAACATAAAAATTGCTTATTGAATAGTTTACGAACACGCATTTAATTTTATTTGGTTTGTCAAAATGTTGTATTCTTTACTCTTAAACCTTTATTGTCACTGATTTTCAACTTTGTATTTATTTTTGCTGTTGTAATTTCAGATTCAACTCATGTAGCTAAACAATCAACAATTCTAATCACTGGAGCAAAAAACTGTGTAAGTTGCTTAATCTGATTTGAAATGGAATTTGGTGAAGGATCCTTCTCGTATTTCCTGTATGCTAAGATGTTACAAGTGGTAACACATGCCCTATAATTAGCTAGGTAGTTTTTTGAAGAAAAAATATCTGAGGGTTTAATAGCTTACTGTACTAGCAAGTAGCCTACCCAAACAAATCCTCTTCTCAGAACTCGCATCTGGCAAGAGACTACATGGAGCCCCGTATTGTCGATTCAAGGATCGTCTCGGAAATATCTTGGTGAGGACATAAATCAATCTGGCTAATTGGGAAACAGAAGCTGCAGAAAGAACTAATTAGAGAAAAGCAGTCCATGAAAAAATAACATCTTTCAAAAACACCAGAAGGCAAATAGGAGAGACAAAGAAAGCCAAAATAAAAGCCAGAGACCACCAAACCCTGAACCTTCCTACCATGCAGTGACTGTGGATGTCTCTTTAGATCCAACCAAGCATCCTAATACTTGGCAACAAGTTCCACCAATGATCTACTAAATCCACAATTCGCCCTTGCATGGAGTATTGCTGCCATATATGGTCTGGCGCCCCTTCTGTTTGCCTGGGGGTTCTTGATAGGCTCCAGAAGCGGATATGCAATATGGTTGGCCCTGCCCTGGCGTCTCGTCTACAGTCACTTTCTCACAGACGCACCGTCGCCTCCCTCTGTCTGTTCTACAAATACTTTCATGGAAATTGCTCCGAGGAACTGCATTCGCTGGTTCCCAAACTTCATGAGTTCAAGTGACCTACGAGGCTGGCATCCCACTCTCACCCCTTCACTGTCGAAACTCCTAAATGTAGCCGTCTCTTTTACTCTAATAGCTTCATGTCTCGCACTTCTCGCCTGTGGAACTCTCTTCCCTTCTCCTGTTTCCCTGAGAGTTATAATCTCCAGCTATTCAAGTGTAATGTCAATCGACATCTCCAGTTGCCTTAATCTATCTACTACCCTCATCCTTTCTTCTATCACTCCTATCTGATCTTCCTATTTTCTGTAACCCCTTGCGTCCTAGTGGCTCCCCGCCTTGCTTGGGGTGAAATGCTTAAAAAAAAGTCCAAATTGCTAACTTTACAGTGTCATTTTTCTTTCTCTTACAACAAGTTATCAAATTTGGACCAATTATTAAATATATGTCTTAGCATATGGAAAATACAGTAATTATTAACAAGTAAGTTATTGTTATGTAGTGGTTTCACAGTGGAGGCTTGTATTTCACTAAGTCGGTCCTAAAATAGGTCCGACGTACAAAACGTTAGGAACTTGATATAATAGGTAATGACACAGGGAAATCTAGTTGTGGTGGCTGATACTTTAATATCTGACTAACAGTTGTCCGACATCGACTGACTGACCAACTCTCTGAGCGACTCAGCGACTGCTACTACTTCTACTTATTATAAGTGAGAGAGTCTATTAACTATAGAATAGGTGTGTTCCACTATAACAGTTATACACATTATACCAAGTCACTTGTTATTTTTATAACAAATCATTGTTCCATACCAACTTTACTGGTACCCTGTTAGTGGGACTATTAGTGAGACTAGTAGAATATGCCATCTGCATCTCTTATTAAGAGGTCAGACCTGCCCCCACAAAAGAACAACCTATCAAATAAATGCTTAAAAACTCGCATATAAACTCAATCCATGATTACCTAGACACAAGTATAATAAAAAAAATCTGATTTCAACATTGTGTCTTTTGTATTCTTTAACATTTGTGTCTGGAAAAAAAACAGTATGTCAAAAGGACAGTTTTTCCCTTGATACTGCTATTATTTTAAATACCTTCACTCCTCAGCAATGTTTATTGTTTTAGAATTGTAATAAAACCTAAATATGATGAAAGTGAATTTATACATATTTTTTTCTTGAGAATTTACAATGCAAATATTAAACACTATTTACAAGAATAATTTTATATTTACAACATTATAAATTAATACAATTAGAACTAATCATTTATCAGATTATAAAGGAATAAATATGAAAACAGTTTTTATTCATAAATTTATAAACATATACTAAATTATTAAAATATATTAACCAACTATAAGGAAATACTTATTATTTACCATTTTATAAAGTTCAAATCGATTTGCAATTAGCCAATGTGTTGCCAACCATTCCAACAATTATTTTTGTTGTCAGTTCTCAAGAACAAAGAAAATGTATAAATTCACTTTCATCATATATTTAGGTTTTATTAAAATTCTAATCATTGCTTTTTTAAAACAGTAGATATTGCCAAGGAGTGAAGGTAGTTAAAATAATAACAGTGTCAAGGGAAAAACCATCCTTTTGATACACCATTTTTTGCAGGCAAGACGGTTAAAGATTGCTAGTCAATTTTAGTCAGAAAACCTTTTAAATACTCACCCATTATATTATAACTAATATTAGTTGTACAACAAAAATAGACTACATTGCAATTATAAGTTATATGACATTAAATAAAATTGATAAATATTTACAAAGATTGTGGAATTTGCATTGATTTGCTGATCTGAAATATAGTTGACCTAATGAAAATAAAGATTCTATTTGAAACTCGTGGTTACTGTATATAGCATACACTTGGGAATGATTAGATACTATGCTGCCCAATACATTGGGATGAAACCCAGGATATTAATGAATTAGTTTTTTATTATTATAATTTTACAGTGTAATAACAAAATGTGGAGCTAGTGATATCAGTGTGGAATTGGCATGCATTGTTCAAATTTGGGACAAGTAAATGTTTTAAAAGAAATGTTATCCAGGTAGTTTTATTAGCCTGAAGAACTTTTCTAAATTGATACTCAATATTCTAGACTTTTAACAGAATTTATTATTTTGCTGAAGGAGTGAATAACAATCAAATAGAGTCAGTAAACTGTCTTCCATTTCTGATTGAATGTATTATTTTGCTGATGGTGTGTGCAACAGCCCTGAGAAAAATAAATGGAGTTAGCAAACTAACTTCCATTTCTGACTGAAGCTGTTTTGTACATGGAGAAAGTATGATACCAAAGGTTATATGGTCCAGTCTGTTCTGCTATTTATCCATAGCTGGGGGCAGAGGGAGTAAAGAGATGGATTTGTGGGGGAAAATGGAATAAAACTAATAAAAAAAATTATTATTTACATTATTCAGACTGTTGCCCTCATCTTCATTACCATATTCACAACGTTTCAGCCATTGTACACTCTGGCCTTCTTCAGGTGATTTGAATTTCAAACCACTAGGGTAGATTGTTCTAGTTCCACGTGCCATGCCTCTTCGGTTATTTCCCCGTTAACAACTGTTTTTGTTTTGGTTCACCACTGCTGTATCCTGGTATTGAACTCACAACTCTTTGGGTCTAGTCACTGGATCTAACCAACATCTGTATCTACTAGGCCACGTCTTTATCCTTCAGGACATCTGTGTATGAATTTTTAGGACTTATATACCTCAGTAACAGTTTTTTACAAGTGCTCATATTGCAGTTTTTTCCATTATTATTGCATATTTTTTATCAGAGCTTATATTGCAATTTTTTTGTGTTGTTATTCATTGGTTTTCTCTGGCACTCCTTATTACTGGTTGCCATTATTGTATTCATTTCTATGCTTGGTGACCAAAAAGATTTTCTTGGATAGTTAAGTTAAAGGGAAATAACTGAGACATCCGGAAGAGGCATGGCACATGAAACTAGAAAAATCTACCCCAGTGGACAAAATAAAGGGTTTGGTTCAAAATTCAAATCACCTGAAGAAGGCAGGAGTGTACAATGGCTGAAATGTGAATATGGCACTGAAGATGAGGATAATAGTCTGAATAATGTAAACAATGTAAATAATCATAATATCTCATCTCAGAGATATAAACAAAAAAAATAATATCAAAATAAAAAGAAAAATAAATTCATTCATTTTTCCATGTTGCAAGTTATAAAGAAACTAGGAAGGGTTTCTGGTCACACGTGCGATTTTATGACCCCACTTCTAAAAAGGACAGAATCTTTGTCTTTTCCATATCCAAATGAAAGCATTCGGATGTCTTTTGAGCAGCCCTACTCATGAAGTAGAGATTTGGCCATCCCAATTAAGCACAAGTCTGACTTGAGCTCGACCATCTTTACCCGTTCTTATTCTTACTCCCATAAATTATTTAAGAACCAAAAAGGAAAATGGACATACTCAAGAGACATTTAATGAAATACATGTCCGTAGCAGAAACTCAAGTTTTTTGGCATGCTTTTTCTATCTTTGTTTATATATTGAACACACACCTTCACTTAAAAATACACACAAAGCCCATAAGCTTGTAACATCCAAAGATTCATACTTTTCCAAAGTGTTTTTGTGCATAAGTGAATATAACAAAACCAGCTGGAATTTGAACACGGCTCTCCGATTTCTCATTCTGAGCTGCTATTCATTACACCACCTCCACATCCACTGTACACAGCAGCAAAAATATCTCTTTACTCATTGTCATATTTTACTAAAAAATGTTTAATATATTTATTTTGTTTTATTTTTCAGGGAAAATCTTCCCTATTGCCACAGTATTTGAATCAGTAAGTAAACCCCTTGGAAAAGCTTTTTAGTTTTTGGTTATGTTTGAAAAGTCTTTTTTTTTTCATTCATTTATTCCAAGCATACTAACAGATACCACAAATAGTACCGAAACAAATATATCATCATCATCCCCTTGACTTTTGTAATTGTAAGGGGGATCCGAATGCTGAAGCCATATTGAATCTCCTCCACAACAGTCCATTTACGGTAGCAATTATGGTATAATTGTACCTGTCCATTGTTTGACAGTTTGTGTGTTGGCATCCTTTCCTATGTCTACCTTCAACACTGCCTTACATGATGGTCTTGCACAGGCTATCATGCCTTGCAATGTGTCCAAACCACACCGCTGTTCTTGGTTTGACAGTAGCAGGAAGAGGTTCCTGGTAGCCCACAAAACTTGCAACCCTTCTGAATATATATATATATATATATATATATATATATATATATATATATATATATATATATAGGTACTGCCAAGGATTTGCTAAAAAATGAACATCACCTGAAAGACTCCTTCTTGCCTCCAATCAGCATGGCTGATGCTTATCTCAAAGAGGGTGACTCTTTGCTCCTTCCTGGATTAACATATTTCACTGACATGAAGTTGAAAGATTATATCAAATCCATTGCTAGGTCTGCTGTTAAGAATGTTGGTTGGTGTCATGCTAAACAATTTTTCTCTCCAGAATTTATCTTACATATCTATAAATCTAACATTCATCCTGTTATGGGGCTCTCCCCTTTTTACATAAGATGGACTCGTCCAAAGTATACTTATACTGACAGAGAGAATACCTGTTGTTGAGATACGTGGAGATATGTTGAGACATGTTGAGAGATACGGAGACAGACACAGGGTGTTCTCAGAGAGTTATAAAATAGTCCAGAGAAAGAGATGGTTACGGCTTTACTTACAGAGACTTGTACATTTACTTTCTACTAACCCGCATTCCTGGACTACTAATCTTCACTTCAAGTCTGTATCCTTATGTTTAATACACTTATTTTTCTATCTCAATTACTGGTGTTGTTTATTTATTGGTGCAGGATTCCATTCACGGAATCCACAACACATCCATACTTTGAATATTGTTGCCACATCTGGTCCAGTGCTCCTGCTGTAGGTCCAGAGATCCTTCATAAAATCCAAAGAAGAATCAGTAATACTATTAGTCCTAACTTTTCCATTTTTAAAAATGCATTTTAAACCTTAGGTATTGCTTTTTTCTTTGGAAGTACATATATATATATATATATATATATATATATATATATATATATATATATATATATATACTTAGTTTTTCCTTTAAATATATATCTATAATAGAATTTAATTTATGAATTAGGTCAGATAATAGATTAGCAATAATAACTAAAAATAGAAAATTATGATAAAATTTATTCATAACAATATGCAAAAGATTTACACAAATTGAGTATTTTTTATTCTTATGGATGGTCAATCATAACAAAAATGAACATTCCGTTTTGCAAATAAATTTATGTTATTGCATACAATATTTAAATTCAATACCTTGTACAAATTTAGCAAACTGTTCTCAACATAATGCATAAAAAGGTCTTTTCTTTGTGGTAGGATTGACTAGGTTGTTTTAATTAACAACAGCACCAATGGGGAGTCTAAATTCTTTTGCATTGTTTTCCTTCTGGACCTGAGTGACCTGAATTCCTGTAGCAACTTGTTGTCAACTACGTTAGGCAATTACAAAGTCCTACTTATATACCCAAACAGGTAGGTTCTGAACAAACTCCTTGCAGACTGTTAACTAGGAGGGAAACACTTTCATTGGTTCAGACATAGTAATAAATGTTACTATTTTACCACCAGTCAGAATGCACCATAAATATTTTTAAATTTAAAACTTAAGTAAAAGACCATCAAAGTGGTTCATGTAACTTAAATTTCTTATACAGTATACTGTAATAATAGTTATGTGATGGACAGAAGATTTGTTCTTACTGTAGATCATATTAGCCACAATAACAGATTAACAACAATAACTAATAATTAAATAGAACAATTTTAACAATATATTGTAATTAAAGCTATGTGATGGATAGAAGATTCGTTGTTACCGTAGATCTTATTAAGCACAATAAGAGATTAACGACAATATCTAATAATTAAATAGAACAATTTTAACAATATATTGTAATTAAAGCTATGTGATGGATAGAAGATTTATTCTTACCGTAGATCTTATTAATCACAATAAGAGATTAACAATAATGACTAATGATAAAATAGTCATTGTGACAGATAAAAGATTCATCCTTGCTGCAGATCTTAGAATTTTAGCATACTGGTTTTTTTGGGGTTTTTTTTTCTTAAATTCTTTTTGTATAAAGGAAACACATTAGCCCTTTTCTTTGGCATATCTCCATTGCTTGCACCACTATTCCTGCACTTTGGAACTATTATAATAATGTGAATTAAGCCTGAGGGTGTTGGCAAAGGTCATCCTTCTTTGTGAACTAGCATTACAGAATCACAAAGAACTGGACCAAATAACAGAAACCGTACTATTTGAGGACTACCATCAGCGGTAACAGCTAAAATGGATAGCACATGTAACTTGAAGAGAAAATAATGACATGAGATGTTGACATCCCACACTACTTCAAACAAAAGGTTAGGAAGGAAACTCCTATCAATACTGGAAAGAGCGATAACATCTACTGGACTTGAGGAACCTATTTTTCTGAACAAATTTAAGAGAAACATTTTTATAAATTTCAACCAAAAGCAGTACTTGCTGTTCGCTCAGTGAATGTCAGATGTTTCCTTATAGGGAAATGACTAATATTAACAGTTTTCTTCTATATACCCTGTCTCTTCAGGATGTTGGCAATCATGGCTCTCCACAATTTCCTGTCTTTTGTATCTCTTAATAAATTTTGTCTTTTTGTTATCTCTTCTAAACTCCGTTCTGCCATCCTTTTACACACGCTCGTACTACTACACTGTGTCCCTTCAGGATGTTGGCAATCATGGCTCTCCACAATTTCCTGTCTTTTGTATTTCTTAATAAATTTTTGCTTTTTGTTATCTCTTCTAAACTCTGTTCTGCCATCCTTTTACACACGCTCGTACTACTACACTGTGTCCCTTCAGGACGTTGGCAATCATGGCTCTCCACAATTTCCTGTCTTTTGTATTTCTTAATAAATTTTGTCTTTTTGTTATCTCTTCTAAACTCTGTTCTGCCATCCTTTTACACATGCTCGTACTACTACACTGTGTCCCTTCAGGATGTTGGCAATCATGGCTCTCTACAATTTCTTCACCTTTGTAGCTCTTGAGTAAATTTTGTCTTTTTGCTGTCTCTTCTAAACCCTTTTCTGCTATTCATTTACTCAAGCTTGCTAGGAAGGTTCTATACTGTTTTCCTGTGTCCCTCTTGCCAGTGAGTATCAGATTTTCCAAGCCTTCTTTCCTCATTATGTGCCCTAGAAATTTCAACTACCTCTTCCTGATGTTAAGTATAAGTGTCCTTTTTGCTTCAATTTTCTCTAAAACTTCATTGTTGCTCACATGTCGGGTCCCTGTTATTCTCAACATCCTTCTGTAGGACTGTATTTCTGTTGTTTCAAGTCTCTTTTTCATATGTGAGGAGATTGTCCAGCATTCACTACCATGTAGGAGAACAGATATTACATAACAGTTCAGTACACTTTTCTTTGTTTCTAACAAAATTTTTCTGTCTCTTAATACTTTGCTTAGCTTTTGGAAGGCATCTTTTGCTATCCTAATGCATATTCAGATTTCAGTGTCCCACTTGTTGTCCTCTGTTAAAGCACTTCTCAGATATTAAAATTTTTGTACTTGTTTGATTTTGGTATCTTCAACTTGTAATTTGCATGTTGGGATGTTCCTTTTGCTAACAACCATGCATTCTGTCTTCTTGCAGTTGATGTTTAATCCTTACATCTCTACCTTTTGTAGGAGTCCTTGTCGTTTCCTTTCTCTGTCTTCTATCAACACTGTTATTTGCATATTCTATGTTAAGATTATGGCCGTCAATAATGAATCCTAGGACGACTTCTATCCAAATCACCCCACTCTATTGGTTGAATAAGTTTTACACTATTCTTTATTTTTGCATATTTACTAAATTCCTTTTCTATCCGTACGCAAGTGATTTGCTGCTAATATAGGTTCTGGATTATACTAATTATCCTTCCCAAATAAGGTCATGGCTACCTAGCAATTCCAACTGTTATATGTGAAATACTTTATCAAACACTTTTCATTAACATAATGTAAAATATTTAAAAATTAAACTACCACAGAGAACCTTTTCTGCCTGCCTTTAGCATGGCTGGCATAAGACTCCTGGAGAGCAATACACAACACCTTCTTGGCTTCATGTTTTCAACTGACTTGAAGGGGAGTGACTACATCAAATCAATAGCCGCATTTACTTGTAAAGAAAGTTGGGTCACTGTTTCATAACAGAAAATATTTTCTTGTCAGAGTCCATTTTACACATTTACAAATCTACCATTCTGTCATGCATTGAATAATACTGCCATATCTGGTCTGGTGCTCCTGCTATTCATTTTGAGGTTCTTGACAAAATCCAGAAAAGGATCTGTAATGTAATTGATCCTGACCTGGCATCTTGACTTCAGTCACTTTCTCACTGATGTGAGGTGGCTTCCCTCTGTCTTTTCTGCAAATATTTTCATCACAACTGCTTTGACAAGCTTTATTTCCCTGGTGCCCTATGAATTTAAGCAAGCTACTAGATTGGCATCTAGGTCCCAACTGTTTACTCTTGATGAAGCTAAATGCAACCACCACTTCTACTCCAAAAGGTTTTTATACTTTACTACTGATTCTTTAAATGTTTTGTTATTGAAATGGTTAATTTTCAAAAGATTATTCTTGTAAATAAGCAATCTAATAAATAGTGTTTACTGTTTATTATTTTTGTTGTCAATTCTCAAGAACAAAAAAATGTATAAATTCACTTTCATCATATGTTTAGGTTTTATTACGATATCTAATCATCACTTTTTAAAACAGTAAACATTGCTGAGGAGTTAGTTAAAATAATAGTGGTGTCAAGGGAAAAACCGTCCTTTTGACACTACATTTTTTTTTGTGGGCATGAAGGTCCGAGGTCGTCAAAAAATACTTCATCTAAGAAATTTAGCTGGCTTAAAAAAATATTTTTCACATTTTATCACGTTTTAATTGTTTATTTATTTTATATTTTATAATTTTTGTTGTTTTTTTTTCCCCAAAGAGATGATGTTCCCAAACCGACAGTGGCCTTGGATTACACTTATGCACATGTTGGCCGGGCTAACAAAATGGTAAGACATTTTTGTTAAGTTTTGTGACGTACGGTGGCCGTTAATAATTACGTATAACTCAAGACTTCACTGTTAAGATAAAACAGTATTTAATAACAACTGCAAATAAATACTTAACAAGAACAAAGAAGTAAAAGTCAACTAAAGATAATTAACAATTTCAGTAGTAGTTAGTAGTCCGGCTTAACATCCGGTAAATCCTAAAATCAAAACCCCAAATTATTGACGCACAATAATTCACACTAATTTGACTGGATAGTTCCACTCAATAGTCACTGCAGTCAGTAGCCTGACACCACTATTTATACACCTGACAGAAAACATATATTCATAAGTCCAGAGTGTCACATTTGAACCTTGGTGTCTGTAGTTACTCATTTTCTTCCTATATGACATTAAGTAAATACAAGAAGATAGCTGTTGACCATATTGTTGCTAATAATTAATAATTTGACTAATTGGTTTCTCTTAAAATGTATGTATGTCCTCTTATCAGGACTTGAAATTAATGTCATTCTGTCATCCTAGTGATGACTGAATGTTTATTAAGGAGAATTGGTTAGGATTTTTTTTTTTGGAACATGAGGCCAGCACGATACATAACTTTTAATTAAAGTCCTATAATATTTACTCTAAAAGAAAGTAATTTCATGAAAAATTTCTTACTTCTCATTGACACTGGTAAACTTTTACTAAATGGAACACACATAAAAAAAAAAAAAAGAAAAAAACTTAAGCACTTCTTTTTAAACTTATGGATAAAAGCTAAATGAAGGTTGAAGGACTTCAATTTAGATATTTCTATTATTTATTTGTAAATGTGAAAAACATTAGGATCTGATTGGAAGAACTAATTTTGCTTTAATAAAGAAAGCAAGTAAACTACAATTTTTCTGTCAATTTTTGATTAAGAATCTCAAATGAACCTTAAACAACATTTATATATTATATTTCTTGTTTATCATAAAGTACATTTAAAATATAAAAGAATTTAGAAATGATAAACAAATGGAAAATTTACTCACAGTGAAAAATCTTTTTTGATAATGACCTTAAAAACCTTTTTTGATTTTGAATAGTTGGAAAATGCTACTTTTCTTTATATAAAAAAGAAATGTATAGAGGACAATTGTTAAAGTCTAATGGAAGTTAAAAGTGCAGAAGAACTCTTGAAAACTCAAATGATCAGCTAACTAGAGGTGGTGTTTCAATAAAATCACTGTGGAGAAGGCAATGGGGAACCACACCACTATAAATCCTAAAAAAGATTCATATTGACAATAACTTATCTCAAAAAATGTAATACAAATATATACAATTGTTCATCCCTGATAAATTTTGAAAAGTTGTCTAACTTCCCACGAACCACAGCCTTATAGAACCGACTTCCAAGAGTTTGCTTCCCTGACCACTACAATCTTAACCTGTTCAAGTCTAGAGTTGCACAAAAATATACACTCAAATATAAACAACCAATATTTACCTATCCTCAAACCTGTGTTTGAGAGTTCAGATTTAAGCCTTATGAGATCCCTGGGCTAATAAAGTTTGGGGGCCCCTTTCATTATGTATGTTTGCACACCGCATCTATAAAAAAAACAGATATAATTTCAGAGGAGCCCCATTATATCTGAAAATAAACAAATCGCCTCTGTTCTTATGTCTTTATTTATTTTTATTTTTTTTATCAGGGGCCTGACACTAGTCTTTAGTCTTGGGGTCTCTGGGCTGCAGTCCATACTAGCTTATATGTAAATCTGGTACTGCCTGAACCAAGTAAATGTTTATAGACTCAAATATAAATGATCCGTATTATACTATTCCTGAAATAAAGATTTATACACTCAAATATAAATGATCCGTATTATACTATTCCTGAAGTAAAAGATTTATAGACTCAAATATAAATGATCCAAATACTATTCCTGAAGTAAAGATTTATAGACTCAAATATAAATGATCCATATTATACTATTCCTGAGTAAAGATTTATAGACTCAAATATAAATGATCCGTTATACTATTCCTAAATATAAATGATCTATTATACTATTCCTGAAGTAAAGATTTATAGACTCAAATATAAATGATCCGTATTATACTATTCCTGAAGTTTTATAGACTCAAATATAAATGATCCGTATTATACTATTCCTGAAGTAAAGATTTATAGACTCAAATATAAATGATCCGTATTATACTATTCCTGAAGTAAAGATTTATAGACTCAAATATAAATGATCTGTATTATACTATTCCTGAAGTAAAGATTTATAGACTCAAATATAAATGATCTGTATTATACTATTCCTGAAGTAAAGATTATAGACTCAAATATAAATGATCTGTATATACTATTCCTGAAGTAAAGATTTATAGACTCAAATATAAATGATCCAGTATTATACTATTCCTGAAGTAAAGATTTATAGACTCAAATATAAATGATCTGTATTATAATTCCTGAAGTAAATTTATAGATCAAATATAAATGATCCGTACTATTCCTGAAGTTTAAAAATATAAATGATCTGTATTATTTATTCCTAGACTCAAATATAAATGATACTATTCCTGAAGTAAAGATTTATAGACTCAAATATAAATGATCCGAATTAAAAGATTTATCCACTCAAATATAAATGATCCAAATATAAATGATATACTATTCCTGAAAAGTAATAGACTCAAATATAAATGATCCGTATTATACTATTCCTGAAGTAAAGATTTATAGACTCAAATATAAATGATCTGTATTATACTATTCCTGAAGTAAAGATTTATAGACTCAAATATAAATGATCTGTATTATACTATTCCTGAAGTAAAGATTTATAGACTCAAATATAAATGATCTGTATTATACTATTCCTGAAGTAAAGATTTATAGACTCAAATATAAATGATCTGTATTATACTATTCCTGAAGTAAAGATTTATAGACTCAAATATAAATGATCCGTATTATACTATTCCTGAAGTAAAGATTTATAGACTCAAATATAAATGATCCAGATTATACTATTCCTGAAGTAAAGATTTATAGACTTATAAATGATCTGTATTATACTATTCCTGAAGTATTTATAGACTCAAATATAAATGATCTGTATTATACTATTCCTGAAGTAAAGATTTATAGACTCAAATATAAATGATCTGTATTATACTATTCCTGAAGACAATTTATAGACTCAAATATAAATGATCCGTGATACTATTCCTGAAGTAAAGATTTATAGACTCAAATATAAATGATCTTTTATACTATTCCTGAAGTAAAGATTTATAGACTCAAATATAAATGATCTGTATTATACTATTCCTGAAGTAAAGATTTATAGACTCAAATATAAATGATCAGTTAATTCCTGTAAAGATTTATAGACTCAAATATAAATGATCCATTATACTATTCCTGAAGTAAAGATTTATAGACTCAAATATAAATGATCCCAAGTAAAGATTAAACTCAAATATAAATGATCCTATTCTGAAGTAAAGATTTATAGACTCAAATATAAATGATCCGTATTATACTATTCCTGAAGAAATTTATAGACTCAAATATAAATGATCATTCCTGAAGTAAAGATTTATAGACTCAAATATAAATGATCCTATTCCTGAAGAAAGATTTATAGACTCAAATATAAATGATCCGTAATACTATTCCTGAAGTAAAGATTTATAGACTCAAATATAAATGATCTTATTATACTATTCCTGAAGTAAAGATTTATAGACTCAAATATAAATGATCCAGACTATACTATTCCTGAAGTAAAATTTATAGACTCAAATATAAATGATCCGTATTATACTATTCCTGAAGTAAAGATTTATAGACTCAAATATAAATGATGTATTATACTATTCCTGAAGTAAAGATTTATAGACTCAAATATAAATGATCCGTATTATACTATTCCTGAAGTAAAGATTTATAGACTCAAATATAAATGATCCTATTCATAGACTCAAATATAAATGATCTGTATTATACTATTCCTGAAGTAAAGATTTATAGACTCAAATATAAATGATCCGTATTATACTATTCCTGAAGTAAAGATTTATAGACTCAAATATAAATGATCCGTATTATACTATTCCTGAAGTAAAGATTTATAGACTCAAATATAAATGATCCATTATACTATTCCTGAAGTAAAGATTTATAGACTCAAATATAAATGATCCATTATACTATTCCTGAAGTAAAAGATTTATAGACTCAAATATAAATGATCCGTATACTATTCCTGAAGTAAAGATTTATAGACTCAAATATAAATGATCCGTATTATACTATTCCTGAAGTAAAGATTTATAGACTCAAATATAAATGATCCGTAATGAAGTAAAGATTTATAGACTCAAATATAAATGATCCGTATTATACTATTCCTGAAGTAAAGATTTATAGACTCAAATATAAATGATCTGTATTATACTATTCCTGAAGTAAAGATTTATAGACTCAAATATAAATGATCTGTATTATACTATTCCTGAAGTAAAGATTTATAGACTCAAATATAAATGATCTGTATTATACTATTCCTGAAGTAAAAGATTTATAAACTCAAATATAAATGATCTGTTTATACTATTCCTGAAAAAGATTTATAGACTCAAATATAAATGATCCGTATTATACTATTCCTGAAGAAAGATTTATAGACTCAAATATAAATTCCGTTTATTCCTGAAGTAAAGATTTTAGACTCAAATATAAATGATCTGTAATACTATTCCTGAAGTAAAGATTTATTTAAATATAAATGATCTGTATTATACTATTCCTGAAGTAATTTATAGACTCAAATATAAATGATCTGTATTATACTATTCCTGAAGTAAAGATTTATAGAAAATATAAATGATCTATTATACTATTCCTGAAGTAAAGATTTATAGACTCAAATATAAATGATCTGTATTATACTATTCCTGAAGTAAAGATTTATAGACTCAAATATAAATGATCTGTA